CCATCCATCCATCCATCCATCCATCCATCCATCCATCCATCCATCCATCCATCTTCCAGCAGCCTATGGGCAAAAGACGGGCTACACCCTGGACAGGTTGGCAGTCCATCGCAGGGCAACACAGAGACATATATCTATGCACATACACACTAAAACATAAGGATAAATTAGGGTTGTCAATCAAGCTAACTGTCATGTTTTTGGACTGTGAGAGGAAGCCATATTACCCAGAGAGTAATACTGCAACGTGATTGGTCGACCCTTTTTGGTTCATATTCAAATGATTTATGATGGATTCTTGTGCATTTGTTGACTTCCAAACACTGTAAAAATCAGCTCGCCGTCTCTCTGGCTTGTTTTAGGGTGGCTTGGATTCTATTGACTGCGCATCCATTCATTACTGAATACCACTGGCGATTTCTCATTGAATTCTGAGGCTAAACATCCCCTGTAAGTTTTGTAAAATTAATAGCTGAATATCCATTGCTACTGCATTAAATGTTCTCTAAAATACACTTAATGTTGCTCATTAATCAGCTGTTGAGCCCACTCTAGGACAGGATCTCCCCTCCACTCTGGAGCAGCAGGACGCTGCCTGTCAGTCTGTATGAGAAATCCCTCTTGAGGCCAGAGCATCTGTACATTGAGGCAAGCAGTGAGAAAGTAGGACCCTGATTGAATAAGATGCAAAATTCACTTCCAGTAAGGCTTAGTTCTTAGGGGTCAAGCTGGCTGCTTGAAGCTGATTGGCAGAATGTGCTAAAGAATTTGACTGACAGTGGCCAGAAAAAGGGGGGTTTTCCTCATGAGACTGAGAGGGGAAAAGGCGATCATTCAGTCATGTTGTTCTGAACTCTTGCCATGGTTTCTGGAGTTTATTATTTCGTAGAGCTTCACAACAGCTATTTTCACAGGTCATAATAATGTGTTTTATGTGTTTCAACATTTATTAAACATTATAATTTAATTAACACCATTGAAACCTCCCCTGTTTCAGAGACCAGCAGCTGCCACTGCTGCACACCATGGTAGAAAATAACACAATATTGAACTTTGACTGCCTAGCATAGCGGTTTACTTGCATGGCACAAGCCATTGAAAATAATGGGTTTCAGAGCAAAGAGGTCCATGCACCACGTCCTGTCTTAAAGGGGCAAAAATAATGCATAATTTCTCTACTGTCACATAATGCATAATCGGGGTAGGGGGTCTGAGAATAATCAACGATCAAAGTAACCTGACCAAAACATCTATTTTGACATCTTTCCTTGTCAAGAGAGCATTTAAGCTAATACAAATTTTCTTGTGACTGATATAAATTATTAAAGCTGAATTTAAATCTAGAATGCAGTTTCCTCATTTCTTTTTTATTTTAAAAAGATATACTTAAAAAGTCAACTTTAGGGTTTAAAATATAAATTTTCAGTATGTCTTGAAAATAGTTATAAGAATGAACTGGAAAAACACATAGCAGTGTAAGTCTACTTTTTAAACTTTGCATACTGTTGTATTCTGCAATTTCTCAAAGGTGTTCCTCGGGGAACATTACTAGTGACAGCATTTTGTTGGAAATAATCCTAAATGACATAAAAAACAAACAAGTGAAGCTCAACTGATGACTGGTTAGCCGTTAGCTCTAAACATCTTTCAGTTGATCAAATCTGGGTCTGACTTTCTGGCATATACAGCAGGACCTGCTCAACTTAACTGCTTCAAACATTTTAAACAAATATCTAAATGCAAGGATGACAGTAAGGAGAGTAATTCTCTGCCTTTAGAGAAAATATAGCTTTTGGTGTAAAATGGTGATTATCGCGGTGCATAAAAAACGTTAAGTTCTGAACTGTCTGCTCTCTTCTGTTTAGCATTCAAAACCCAAATCAAGACGCCGTGATAAGGGCTGTCGCAGCAGCAACAGTTGCCAGGGAAACCTGATGGCAGGATGCTGAGGACTGGGGTGGAGGATGAGGAGAAAGAGAGGGAAAAAGAGGAGTGGAGAGCGGGGGAGTTGGGGTAAGGTAGGAGTTTAATATGAGAACATGGTTCTTATGCTTAGGTTGATTTGCTGCTACTGAAGGAACACAGGCAGGCAACTTCAGATGCGGCACCTTTAGAGGAGTGCGACTAACAAGTATGTGAGGGTGGGTGGGGGGTGACGCCGGTTGGTGCATTAGTGGGTAGTCATGGCAACGAGGCGTTGACATAGCGGTATCACACTCTGAGCACTATGGTCAGCGGTGACATTCACAAATGTACACAGCGAGCCTTTTCAGTCTTTTCCTTTCCCCTGTGCAGAAATAAAACACTGAAAATTTCTTTCCAAAAAAGCCTGTGTACCACTTACTGTTTCTTATTCGCTACGTCTCTTCTCAAAAGAAGGCGAAGGGATACAAACTGTGATACAACAATCAAAGTTGATCAGAGGATAAACAAAAATAATAAAACATTAGTAATAAGAAACAGCCACCAAATTTCACAGACTTCCACTGCCTTTTTTTATGTGCCAAGTTTTTTTTTTATTTTCAAAGTGACCTCTGCTAACAGAACATCTCTCATAATTATAACCAGCGTAATCAGCTAATAATAACAATAACAATATTACAATAAAGATAACACGTGATTTTAAAAAAAAATCAAACTAGATAAAAACAAAAAATGAAAAACACTTATAATAATTTTGTATCGTTTTTTAAAAGAGATCTATAAGATTCTATTTTTTTTTTTATTTACTTGTCCTTTTTCTTTAGAAAAAAATTCACCCACCACTGAATACTGCACTAAATGCCACCTCCTCCTTCAACAAACAAGCTTTTCTTACCTTTTAAAAAAAAATGTTCATCCATTTTTGCCCCCCGCTGCAATCAAACCAACTCATAACACTGAGATACAGTCGGGAAATAATCCTCTGCAAATAGGTGCAGTCTTCGTGCTTTATGTCATATAGCAATGGTGTCCCATCAGAAAGGGTCGATGAGGGTCGGACTCAAGGAAGCCCTTTTATGAGCCAGGTCATTTCCTTCTGACGCTTACAGAGTTCGTTAAGTGGCAAGTTAGATCGGCCAAATGATATCAGCGTCATGTACAAATGAAAAAAGTCACTCTTCAGTTATCTGTGGGCAGTAGCAGTAACAATAATAGTCACTTCAACAATAATAATGATAGCACAATAACATTGACATTTCATATCATTAATATTTTAAATGATTTGTTAAACTTTCAAGAAATTAATTTTCTGCAACACCATTTTAACTGCAGAGTAATGTCCTAATGACAAATAAAGCTGAATTTGTTATCATTATTATCGGAGTGATTATTATTAATACTAGAGTGCCATCATAGAGGGAAAAACAAATTTCAAAGCTCCTGTCGTGTTTCATGGTTTTGCAGCAGAGAGTAACTGACTCTGTTTCTGTAAGTGAAAACAGCGTTTGTGGATACAACAAAGATCAAGACTAAAATAATATGGTTTTCATCACTTTGTCAGGTCTGCGTTGTGGCGTCTTTCTTTCACATGTATCCAGAGGAAGAGCAGTCAGGGCGGCTTTTTGTATTTCAAGTTCCAGGAAGGTTTAAGAGGGATTGTTAAACTAAAACAGCAGGGCATGTACTTAAATCTTTTTTTTTAAATATATATTTTCTTCAGTTGTTGTAGTGGTCACTCATTAGCTTGATAAAGATTTTTCATAATTTATTTGAATGAAAATATATTTACGGTATATATAATATGTATCTTCAGTTCTTTATATATCGCTCTATAGTTGTCCTTCACTCCTTCATAATATTTCCATTCTTTTAAAGAAGACAGTAACCAGTAACGTGTAAAATTGAAAATAGTGATAAAGTAAGGAGCAAAATCACTTTTTGTTGTTCTGATATTCCAAGCGGCGTTGCTGCTCCGCTCCTATTTTGCTCCCTCTGGGTTTTCCTGAAAACCTGGGACTGCTCTGCTTTGCCCACACAAAGCATTGTTTGCTATTCCCTGCCTTTGCCAAACACTAATCTGACAACATGTTCAATGGCCAATATTATGTCCCCCTCCAAATATATACACTGAATGCATCTGGAAATGTACGAAGCAATCTGTATACATCCTTGAAGGGTTCACTGCAGGTGTGCATTGTTCATTTCTGTCCGCTGAGAGAAAATGCTTGATCTTGAGCTTTGGCAAATACCATATCAAGCTGCACACAATGAGTAATTCTGACATTTGAGACTGTGCAGATGCTGTTGGTGGGACTGGTCTCCTGTCTCCTTTTGTCTTGCTATCTGTTAACAAAGGGCCACCAAAAAATAAAGGTTATGTAGAGCCTTTCTGAAAATTGTCCAAAAGGACATTGCGCTACAATCACTTTCAAATAGTCACTTGCTCATTTGCTTTAGCATCCGCTCAGTCTTACCTCAAACGTCTACCTTTTTTAGATTTGGGTCTCTTGCACATTTTCTTTTGAGCCGCTCTTGAAAAGGAGTGGTTCATTCTGGCCTTTTCCTATCAGGCCTTTCAGAGAACTATGTAGACCCAACTGAGGCAGGGCTACGTTGGACGGAAGGGTGCCACCAGTGGACGTCCCCCCACCAGTGCTAGATGGAACCTGGGAGCAGGATATGCTCTGCGCTTGAGAGCATGGCGAGGGGTTGTTGTTGTTGTTGAGGCCCACACCTGGCCCTGTGCCCATCCCAAGGCCCATCATGTTGCTGTTGAAATGATGTGTTTTGTAGTAGTGGTTGAGGTGCTCTGATCGAGCTAGGTTTGGTAGATTAACAATCTCTGGATGGTGCAACCTGAGACTCTGGCATCCTCCTAATCCACTGCCTGCGCTTTGTGTTACAGTGGAGCCTCCAGATATTCCACTGCCCCGGCCACTAGCCCCAGGACCTAGGTCATCATCCACATTGATGATCTCAATTGCACGAGCAGGGCCATGATGTTTGTGCAGCTGATGCTGCTTCCTCAGCTTATAGAACACCACCAGCATCACTGCTGCCATGAAGGTGATGGCTACGAAGCAGCCAATGATGATCTTGGTGGTCTTCATCACATCATCCAGGCCAGAGAAACCTGGTTCCGTGAATGGCACAGTGAAAGTTGGGCGAGTTGCCCGTGGAGAGGAGGACAACCAACCACCAGTTAGAGAGGAATCTGTGGTAGGAACTACCTCAGACAATAGGTCAGAGGGAATGGATATGGTGGTCTCATCAACCTGTGCATAATCATTGGGTCCTCCATTATCTGTTTCCACAGTAACAGTTGTAAAAAAGGTGATGTTGACAAGGGCATCAGCAGCAGTAACATTGAGGACAGCAGTTGCAGTAGTGTTTCCAGCAGCATTGGTAACCATGCAAGTGTACTGGCCTGTGTCCCTCAGGGTAACATTTGTGAAGTTCAATGTGCCATCATGTAGAACAGAAATCCGGACTCGGTAAGACCCATGGGTCATTAGTGTACCGTTGGGAGTAATCCAGTTAACGGACGTTGTAGAGGTACTTGTGCGACACTTCAGCTCTGCAGCCATCCCTTCAGTCACATTAAGGTCAGTAGGGGGCTCTACAATGACGGGTGCAAAGCAGGTGAAGTGGCTCTGGTCAAGTTCTCCAATGTACTTGCCCTTGAGAACTGGAGGAGCATGGCAGCGTGCACAGCAGGTGGTGTTACTGGGCACTGTCTCCTTCAGCCACCAACTAAGCCAAAGTACATCACAATTGCAGACCCAAGGATTATGGTTGAGGTGCACCCTCTCCAGTTGGTGAAGGGGTGTGAAAAGATCATGAGGCAAGGAGTGCAGGGAATTATGTGAGAGATTGAGCTCCTCCAGGTTTTTTAGATCATCAAAGGCATTGCGCTCAATCACAGAAACCTGTGAGTGCATTAGCCACAGCTTTTTAAGAGACACCAGTCCCTGGAAAGATCCAGGACGAATTATCTCCAGGCGGTTCCCTGACAACTCCAGCTCTTCCAAACGCACAAGGGGTGTCAGTTTGGGAATATCTTTAAGCCCACACATACCCAAGTTCAGGTACCGTAGATTGACAAGGCCAACAAAGGCTGCATCAGAGATGTATTCCAACTTTTTAAGCTCACCCAGGTCCAAGCGACGCAGGGAGGGCACACGGTTGAAGGCATAACTAGGGAGGGTCTCAATAGGGTTGTTGCGTAACCACAGCTCCCGTAGCTTGCTGAGGTAATCGAAGGCCTGCGTTGGCACCAACGTGAGGCGGTTGTCAAAGAGCTCCAGCGTGTTGAGGTTGGGGAGGCCATTAAATGCTCCGATTTCAATTTGTCTTATCTGATTCTTGGAAAGCTGAAGAATTTCAAGGTGCCTTAGCTGCTTGAAGGTGTCCGATTTGATGACCTGGAAGAATAGATGAAATTAGCATTAATAAAAAATATAAGGATTACTTTATATAGTTTACAAAGAGTGATAAGGAAAAATATTGGTTTCTTTTTGCCACACAAAAGCAATAGATAAATTCTTACTATTTAAAGAAGCAAACTCCAGCTGAATCATTTTGATTGGTCTTTTGAAAGGAACACCAGTGCTGAAAAGTTGATCAGTTTCTAAGACACATCCATGGTCAAAAGAAAGCAAACCTTTCTAAAATTATTTGTTAGTAAGTATTTTGTACATATAAAAAGTTTTTTGGTTGAACATAAAATTGATTCGAATCACTGCTGCTCATGTCTTCACTAGAACTAAGAAAATAAAGCACATCAGCCCGGGTCCAAAGTCCTTTGCTCCCTGTAGCTCTGAGAATAGATTTTTAAATCCTTCTGTCAGTTTTTAAATCACTGAATGGATCAGCACCTCAATACATAACAGTTTTGTTGTCAGTGTAGCAACCTCCCAGACCACTCAAGTCTTCTAATTAAAATCTACTCTATACAACCAGAACCAAACATTGAAAAGCTACATTTAGTATCCTATGCCCCCTTATCTAGAACAAACTCCCAGAGGACTGTAAAAGTGCTAAAAGACTGTTATTTTAAATCAGTTAAAAACCCATTTGTTTAGAGCTGCCTTTGACTGTTAAAGTTAAACCGTTAAATGAGGTACTATAAGTTTACGGTTGCAGTCCAACTGTTTTCTACTTGTTTTAATATCTACTTTTATTATGGTATTATCTTTACCACCTTTTATTCTACTTTTATTTTGCTTCTGTTTTACTTTTTTTCATTCATCTAAAGCAATTTCAATTGTGTTTCCTATTCAAATAAATGTGCATTGCTTAAAGGAGAATTCCGGTTTTTAACACTTTTAGCCCATTTTCTGTAGTGTCCAGGATGAAATCGAATGATCGACACCAAAATTTTGACAATTGGTCCTGTCTCTGCTTTTTGGCTCATGCAGAATCCCCCCCTGGCTGCTTCAGAATGGCTTTCATAGTGCATGTCCGATAATGTCCTTAAAACAACCTTAAACGTTCTTTTTTTAAAATATGCTACTCACCGGGTCGTCAGCGCTGTTCAATGACGTTCCAAAAAAAGTTTTGTAAAGAAAAAACGTTCCTGTAGTGTTTTATTTAGCATTTTGTAAATCCCATTGAGTTCTGTAGGAATAGTCAATATTCCCCTGCCACCGGAAACGGAAATGGGGCCTGTTTACACAGTTGTAGTCTTTTCGCTTCACTCTGTGTACTCCGACGTCGAGGTGCTAACGTCTCTGTTAAACACTTTAAAAAACTCTGAAAATGGAATACGAAAGGTGGATTCTTGATTCTCGACGTCGGAGTACACAGAGTGAAGCGAAAAGACTACAACTGTGTAAACAGGCCCCATTTCCGTTTCCAGTGGCAGGGGAATATTGACTATTCCAACAGAACTCAATGGGATTTACAAAATGCTAAATAAAACACTACAGGAACGTTTTTTCTTTACGAAACTTTTTTTGGAACGTCATTGAACAGCGCTGACGACCCGGTGAGTAGCATATTTAAAAAAAAGAACGTTTAAGGTTGTTTTAAGGACATTATCGGACATGCACTATGAAAGCCATTCTGAAGCAGCCAGGGGGTGATTCTGCATTAGCCAAAAAGCAGAGACAGGACCAATTGTCAAAATTTTGGTGTCGATCATTCGATTTCATCCTGGACACTACAGAAAATGGGCTAAAAGTGTTAAAAACCGGAATTCTCCTTTAAGATTGAGCCTTTTGGTTTTATTATTAAGCTTGAATAATATGAATGGAATTTTCCATCCAACCATCCCTCCATCCTGTCCTGTCATCTGCAGACATACTTAAGAGGACTATGCGGTCTTTGTTGGCATCAAAGATGGACAAGAAGCTGAGGGAGCTGGTAAACCGCTTTGTGGCATGGTGTGGAAACAATCGCCTGGTCCTGAATGTCAGCAAAACCAAACATATGATTCCAGATTTCAGAAGAAACAGGAGCAAGATGAATCCTATATAAATCAAGGAAGAAGCATTGGAGGTAGGGGAGGATTATAAATACCTCGGTGTTCACCTGGACAACAAACTAGACTCGAGGCGCAACTGTGAAACTGTCTACTAGAAAGGACAGGGCAGATTGTACTTCTAAAGGAACCTCAGGTCCTTCGGCGTTTGCAACGAGATGTTACATATTTTTTTTATAAATCTTTTGTGCAAAGTGTGATCTCTTCTGCCATCATCTGCTGGGGTTACAAATGACTTAAAACAGCTCCACATGCTAGTTCTGTTCTAGGAAGTCCTCTAGAACCACTAGAGATGATTTAACAGAAGCTAATTCTTCATAAAGTGAAGAACGTTATGGAGAATTGATTCAATTAATTTAACATTATAATCCTTATTTATTTCTTTAAGAAAAAGGTAGAAATAGTAATCCAGTGTTTACCCTGTCACCCCAATGGCCAATGCTTGGTGTTATTAGCTGTAGAAGAAACTATTCTATATAGTAAAAACAATCAGAGCAGCACAGAGAAGTGTTGTATAAGCAACTTTCAAGCAATAACAGTTACTGCTGCAAATTGTTTTTTTTTTGTATTCCCCAATCATCATATGTAGTGATCTGTATTTAAAAAAATAGTAGACCTATATAGAAACTAGTAATTTAGTTTCTTCTTTGCAGTGTGCTCTAATAATCATAACCCTGTGAAAATGCCCAAACATGACCCCTTGTTTTGTTGTTATAACTGCACCATTAGATAAAGCTTAACATGTGGGTTCAGCTGATGCATGTTTAACATTGACTCCCTCACCAGCAGACAAGGAATCAAGGAAGATGTTGTTAAGGAATATAATCTTAAAGTGACCAATCAATGCCCATGATGACTTTTTTCACAATTTGTGTTAAAGCTCAGGTAGGAGTAAAATCCTTACCGTACTATTGCTTGACATACTTCACAACTGACTACCAGATAAAAAATATCAGAGGATTATTTCCATTTCTAAGCGCAGATCAGGTATTATTTTAGGTTTCAGAAATACAGATAAACCTCATAATTAAACAATTTCAAAATTGGCTTTAATTTATAGGTGCATTCCAGTCTTCTTGTTAATGAACACATTTTTAACTACAACAGAACATCCTCACTCTAAAACCAAGACAAACACAACCATTTTGCACTCAATGATTAAAAAAATACGAAACAGCAGATCCAGAAAAAAATGTAATGATCATTTTTCCTCAAGTAACTGTAACTTTAATGATACATAGATACACATCAATACATTCATTAAATAATTTTTTAACTCAATTATATTGATAATAAATAAAAAATATCAATCCACATAATCTTTAAGAGACACCTTCATTGTGAACTTTATTAAGTGCAATGTTATGTCATGATTCTGCACTTTTTTGGTTCTGTTTAAAGTTTCTTTTTTTAGTTTTAAGTTCCACTTTGGTTCATGCGTTTCTGTTTTTTCTAGTTTTATTGTTTTAATTTCCATTATGAGGTATCTGGATGTATTTGAGTTCTTATATGTCTTGTTTGCCTTCTGTTGCCTATTGTGTCAGCCTCTTTCCCAAGCTCCCTTCTAGATTCCTCTGTCAACACCTGCTCCCAATCTGCTTACAAGCCTGGTCTTTGTTTCTGTCTTCCATATATACACCTCCTGTTAAGTCACTGTTTGCTGGTTCCTCTTCATCATTTCATTGCCATTCATGTCTGTTACCCTGGTTTTAAGTATTTTGTTGGAAGACTTTTGCTTCTTTTGCCCATTTGGACATTAAATCTGCAAGACACCACCTGCAGCATCAGTCTCTGCATTTGGGTCCTCTTCAAACCTCCACACAACCTCACAGGTTATAGCAAACAGATAATATATTATAATCATTATCAAGAGCTTAGAAATAAGCTCTTGATAATTTTGAATTATATTTAAATCATAGTTTTTTTTTAAAGTTTATATCAAGGCAAATAATTCTATTAGACGGGCTGAAGATATCGAATATTATTGATTTCAAACTTGTAAAATGAATAGAAATTTCATGACAACAGAATTTGTGATACTGCCAAACATTGCATCATCATTCAAACAAATAGAATCAACATTGTACGATGAAAAGGCAGGTGATAAGGGTGGGTGCTACAAAATGTGAACATTTATAACTCCGTAAAAGTTCAAAAAAATCCACTGGACTTGGTGGGTCGTTTGGTCATTTGAACCAAACGACCCATTCATCGGTTACCATTTGCATGTTTCCAAGCAATACAAGGCCTTGTCTATATAAGACTCAAACTCACTGCGGATCCAGACATTTGAATTGAGAAAGCTTCCTGGAGAGGTGGCGAAACATCTTCAATCTTGGAAATCAAGTCCAGTGGATTTTTTTTGAACTTTTATGGAATGACTATGACCTGGATGACTGAGAATCTTCATCAGCAACATTTATAACATGATTTTATATCGTAAAACGATGCAAAACTTAGTGAACTTAGTAATGATATAGTGGACTCATTTCCTGAGAGGAGTCCAGGCAACACAGTGTTCATCCTTTGATATTATTTTATGTGAACAAAGGTTCTCAGCTAGTTTTATGCATCACAGCTGATGATAGATTGATGAGCATAGCTACCATGGAGGAACCTTGGTATTTTTTTTATCTGTGTGCAAAAGAATGGAATAAATTTGTTTTAGCTGCTTGGTGAACTGAGAAGACTAGTTAAGGGTAGATATAGAAGTAAATAATAAGCCCTCCCACTAGACTATTTAAAGTCTAGAGTCGATGTTCACTCTGAATAAAAAGGCAGTAAAAATTAGGTGGAATTATCACAGTGATAAGTGTCTGACTCTGAGTCTGGCTCTGATGGCTGAAAAGGCCAGGGTTTGAGAAGTCCGACAGGACCAGCAGCCATTGTGAGCATTGTACCCTCCGTACAGGACTCTAAAGCTGGAACTCTCCTGAGCAT